GAATAGTGTAGGTAACAAATGAGTGAAAGAACAATGGTCAAGGGACAAAATTTGAAGAGATACACTTGTACTTTAAAAAGCAGACATAGCAAAGTTGTCTAAAACACAGAACATGCTAGTTAAGAAGGTTAACAAGACTTAGAGAAAGGTTGCTATTACAGGTTCAACACTTAACAAGAAGTAACATATTGGCAGAAAACATATTGAAAGAGTTAGACGAGAAACAAGTTTTTTCTGAGATTAGCATACAAAGGTGCATAATACCAAACGAGTCTAAGTAGAGCACTAACTTAAAGGGTTTAAAGCCTAAGGTCCAAATTATGCTGAATATCATCACAACACTAGAAAGTAGACCTGCCAGTTTATCACTAAGATAAACAGTATCAAACATTATAAGGAAACACAGATTTGGATGGCCACCCCAAAGGTCCGAAATAATCACTAAAGCTACAGAATCAAGCAAACCAAAGACATGTTGAGTGGCACAATAACAGGGGAGCAAGTCATGGTTAATAGTGAAGGTCTTAGCATAGATTTAAACATATTACAGATGCGAATCTATCATCACAGGAATCCAGAACATAGTAGAGAAGCAAGCTCATGTCAAATAGTAAATATAGACATTCAGGTACCAACACATTAGGCTAAATGAACTTAAGAGGGTCTAAATTATTTCGGTGAAGCATATTCAAATAACATATCTTAAACCTGGAAATCTTAGGTAAAAATCAAATGCTAAAGAGGTTCAGATCATAAGACGAGTTCAATGCTAGCAAAGTTACACACAGAGATATCCCAGAAACGCATTAGGTCACGAGTTCAGAAGTATTAGTATGCAAATCATGAATATAGAAGAGCGAAGTTGTAAAAGCCAAGTGATTTACCATTTAAACAGACAACAAGAAAGAACAAATTCCACAGTACTCTGAATATCAACAAAGAGAAACAACCCAAAATCTTAGTACGTCAGAGTTCCCAAGGGCTTCAAATGAACCCCGGGCAGTGCTCGCACCAAGAAAGGTTGAAGAATCGAATTTCGGTGGCCTTGACTTTCAGCCGGCCAAGAACCAAAGTACAGAACAAGAGGAAGAGAGAACAATAGAGTAAAAGCTTCAATTTTTAGTGAATCTAGTGGAAAAAGGTCTGTACATAATGGGCATAGGGGAGGGATTTATATAGTGTTGAAATTGAATGAACAAACAAGGAAAATAACTGATTAAACATAGATAAGGAAAGAAATCAAGTTAACATGGACGAAAAAAGGTAAAATCTCGCATGTAAGTCAGTAGAGTAACAGGAAAGGAAAAGTATCAAACTCCAAACCCTAGTTAGGGTTTTAAACTCAAAATCGGCCAACTGGTATGAAGAATCCAGTTTTACTTTGCGTATATGGACGAGATATCATCCAAATCTTCAAGATTGAGTTGATTCTTGTCCGATATAGAGGTGGTATTTACTAAAATTGGGCAAATACCCAAGTAATACCAAAATTATGTAACCAGTACCAAAAGGATCAGATATGGTAAGCAAATGGTGGTCGAATCCCATTATTAGTGGGATTAGGAGAGGAAATTAAGGGGAGGCGGCTAGGGTTCTTCAGAAGAGAGAAGCGGAGATTGAGAGCGTTTAGGGGCGGCGGGTTAAAGGGGAATGGATTGGGGTTTCAGGTCTAGGGTAATTAAAAGGGTGGGGTAATTGTAGACCGTTGATCTTGAAAGATCAATAGTCGAGATTAAGGGATAAATGGGGCGGGTCATTTGAAACGGGTACCAACCGGGTTAAGGGGTCGTTGGATTGGGCTTTGGGGATTATTGGGATAAGGTATGGGTGCTTGGGCCATTGAATTGGTCCGTAACTGGCCTTGTATTAGGCTATAAATTAAATACATGAAAATTATTTAAAGAAATAATTTATAAAAAATAATTAATAGATAATAAAATATTACTTGTGAAATACAATGATTAAAAATAATAACTTAATATTATAAAAATATAAAAATGCTATTTTAGCCCAAATAATGTAATTATGCATAGCGTATAGGCTATTATTGCAAAATTATGTAAATAGGCTAAAAATACAAAATATAATTATATAAAATAAAGTAAATATTATGAAGCATATATATGCATGCAAAATAATAAATTTGGATGATTGAGTCATCACAAAATAATTTAAAGGGTAATTAATAAATATTTGAACAATCTAAATGCAAGAAAATCAATTTTAAAGCTTTAAAATTATGAAAAATTATATAGAAATACTTGCATAAATCTTGTAAATTAAGTGCATCTGAAGGTCTAATAGTAGCTCTCGGCGCACGTTATGCTAACGTACGCCGTCTGAGAAGCAGCCATGGCGAGAAAGCGAGGACGACCTAAACGAGTACCACTCGTGACGGTCGGCGAATCCATCAGTGCAATAGTAATTGCAGATACTCTAGCTAAGGGATCCATACAGCAAGTAACAACACCAATCGGACACCAATTTCAGTCTAATTCTCATAAATTAGGCTCATCTAGTAATGCTAAGGGACCAGTGAAAAGGATAGATCTCAGTGCAGTGCAGATGAATGAGTCTTCATCTTCGTGTGAAGGAACTCCAGTAAGTACAGCTATGGATATTACTCAGGAGAGGGAGGAAGTAGCAGTAGCTGAGCTGAATGTCAATGGAACAGTAACAGCAGAGCGAAAGGATGAGACAAAAGTACATGCAGAAGCACCGGAGCTGGGAAAACATGGACAAATCTGTTTGCTGGCAACAGATCCTCAGAAAATGGTATGGTATTATCATATATCCCACCGGAATTTGTTGATGGTAATATTGTGGTAAAAGTAGATAAGGAAGAAATTGAGTTGCAAAATAAAAAATGGGAATGTGCCCTAATTATTTATATGGATACACCAAGGTACAAATTCATGGAGAGATATATAGCTCATGCTTGGAGTAGAGTGAGTATCCCAGATCTGTATTTGCACGAAGAAGGATACTACATAGCAAAGTTTGATACACTTGGGTATTTGAAATACATACTTTATGAAGGACCTTACACTATTAATGGCAGAACAATGATATTGAAACAGTAGACTCCAGATTTTGACATTAAGGCAGAATTTCTGATGGAGATTCCTTTGTGGATCACCTTCCCTAATTTGCCTATGAGCTACTGGGGTAATAAGACTCTGAGTAAACTAGCCAGTGCTATTGGAAAATCGCTCTTTGCGGATGAATGTACTACTAAGCAGACACGTATATCATATGCTAGGATTTTGGTGGAAGCTAATGTGACAAAAAAGCCTCCAACAGAATTGACATTATAAGATCCATCAGGGAGAATGATCCAACAGCAGGTGGAGTATGAATGGAAACCCCAATATTGCATAGACTGCATGAAGATAGGACATGAATGTGCATTGGAGAAGAGAGTGAATAAAGAAGAACAGCATAGAGGAAGAAAGAAGCAGGGGAAAATTACCACAAGGTAGCAAGTTAAAGGGCAAGGGCAGCAACAACAAACAGAGCGAAATGAGGGTACAAGTAAATCAAGGCAGCAGGATAACAATAATGTGGTTACAGTTAATGAAAGCTCTGGAAATACGGGGGTAATAAGGGATAAAGGGAAAGCAAAAGAAGGGCAGAGTACTGACTAAAGAGAAGAGTGGCCACTTCTGGCTAGTAATAGCATATTGTCACTGGGAACTACAACAATAGCTACAAAAAATGGCTTTCAGATATTACAGCAAGAAGAGGAGAGAATGAAAAAAAATATACCACCTGATTGGGGAGGTGGAACATTATTCACCAATGACTTGGCTAGTTTGGAATATTAGGGGATTGAATAAGAGGTATAAACAAAAAGAAATAAAGCAGTACATAAAGGATAAACATATCAAGTTGGCTGGGTTAGTTGAAACAAAGGTGAAAGAAGGCAATGCAAGGAAGGTGATTAGTAGAATAGTCCCTGGTTGGAATAAGATGACAAACTATGAGTATGCTGTGAATGAAAGGGTATGGATCATATGGGATGAGCAAATATATGCAGTACAACCATTAGACAAACAATATCAGTTCAGTCACTGTCTAGTAATTGGGAAGCACAATGGGATGTATTGTTATCTCACAGTGGTGTATGGACATAACACTGCAGAACAAAGAAGAACTTTATGGGAGCACATAAAAAGATTAGTAGATTACTAAAGAACTTCAATGCTTTACTCACTATCCAAGATAGAATTTCTAAAGTGCCTATGACAAATGCTGATAAAAAGACCTTGCTGGCTATGCCAAGATATTGGTATTGTAGAATTACCATGGAGAGGGGATTATTTTACATGGACTAACAAGCAGCAGGGTGTTGATAGGGTGTGGAGTCGTATAGATAGGATGTTTGGAAATGATATTTGGATGATGAATTATAGTCCCTTGAGTCACTGATTAATGGGGAACCTTATATTTCAGATCACAATCCCATGTCCATCAGTATAAGGCAACCTAGGATTCTTACCAAGAGCCTATTCAGATTCTTTAATGTATGGGCAAGTCATCCTGAGTTTGAAATAATAATAAGAGAAGAATGGAGCAGGAACAAAGTATCAGAGAAGATGGAAAATATTTGGCTCAAGCTTAAAAGGATGAAAAGGTTGTTTAGGCAACTGAATGAAACTGATTTCAAAGGAGTAGCTGAGAAGATAGATCAAGCAAGACAAACTATTTATCACATACAAAGCCAGATGCAAAATAGATGTAGTGACCTGTTGCAAGTACAAGAGAAGGAATGGTTGCAAAAGTTGGAAACATGGTCAATGGAGGAAGAGAAGATACTGCAACAAAAGGCTAGAGCAAACTGGATCAAATTGGGTGATTCTAATAATAAGTTTTTTTCTGCAGTGATAAAAGAGAGGCAGCAGAGAAAACAGATTACTGAACCATAGACATTATCAGGGAGTACTATAACAGAACATGCAGCTATAAAGGAGGAGATTGTATCCTTCTATAAAGGCTTAATGGGAACCAATGCACATATACTTCCAGCTGTGGACATGATGGTAATGAGGAAAGGTCCAACTCTAACACAGCAACAACAACAAGATTTGAATGCTGAAATTACTAAACAAGAGATAGATGAGGCTCTGAAGGGGATAGGAAGTGATAAAGCTCCTGGTATAGATGGGTATAATACAGAATTCTTCAAGAAAGCATGGCCAGTGATCAAAGAAGAAGTGTATGCAGCTGTGAAAGAATTTTTTTCATACAGGGGTGATGTTTCCAGTAATTAACTGCACCACCATCACTTTGCTACCTAAAATTCCCAATCCAGTGACAATTAAGGACTTTAGACCTATTGCTTGTTGTACTGTGTTATACAAACTTATTTCTAAAGTCATTGCTAGTAGACTACAGAAGATCATGCCATGCATCATATCTGAAGCCCAAGCAGGATTTATCCCAGGGAGGAAAATAGCAGATAATATCATCCTTGCTCATGAGTTAGTTAAAGCTTACAGCAGGAAACATATCTCTCCTAGATGCATGGTGAAGGTTGACATGATGAAAGCATATGATTCTGTTGAATGGGTGTATTTGGATCAATTGTCAGAGTATTTATGCTTTCCCACAAAATTCATTAACTGGGTGAGAACTTGTGTATCAACAGTGAGCTATTCAATCGTGATAAATGGGGAGTTGACCAAACCTTTTGAAGCTGCCAAAGGACTCAGATAGGGTGATCCCATATCATCATTTCTATTTGCAATTGCAATGGAATACCTAAACAGGCTACTCAAAGGGTTGAAGCAAGCCAAGGAATACAGGTTTTATCCAAGGTGTGGTAATATAGATATAACTCATCTCAGCTTTGCAGATGACCTACTGATGTTTGCTAGGGGAGATAGTAAATCAGTTTCCACTCTTCATGCTTGCTTTATGCAATTTTCTACTGCATCCGGACTATTAGCCAATCCCAATAAGAGTGTAATTTATTTCGGTGGAGTTGCTCAGGATGTTAGGCTGGAAATTCTACAGAATACTGGATATTCACTTGGGGAATTGCCTTTCAAATATCTGGGCATCCCACTGGATACAAAGAAGTTAACAGCTTTGCAATGGCAACCATTGATTGACAAAATAGTTGCAAGAATCTCCTCTTGGACAGCTCGGAAATTATCTTATGCTGGAAGGGTACAGTTAGTTCAAACAGTAATATTTGGTATCCAATCTTATTGGTCTCAAATATTTATCTTGCCAGCTAAAATGATGGAATTAATAGAGTCATACTGCAGAAGCTATATATGGCCTGGCTCTAACACAATTACAAAGAGAGCACTGAGAGCATGGGAGAAAATGTGCTTTCCTAAATCTGCTGGAGGTTACAATCTGTTGAATATCAGAGTTTGGAATAGAGCTGCTATCACTAATGTATACTGGGATCTGGCACAAAAGAAGGACAAAGTTTGGATAAAATGGATCCACACATATTACATAAAAGGGTAAAGCATACTGGAGATGAGTATACCTCAACAGGCAAGTTGGATGGTGAGAAAGATCATAGAGGCGAGAGATGTAATTCAACGAATGCCTACAGTAAAGCACAGGCAGAGCAATACTAAACAAGTATACTTAGGCATTCTGGGAAGATACAACAATGTGGCATGGAGAACCTTAATGTTCCATAATAAAGCTAGACCTAAGGCAATATTCACTATGTAGATACAATGTCATGGGATACTGTTGACAATAGATAGGCTAGCAAACTGGGGAATTCAAGTAAATCCAAGATGTTGCCTATGTAATAGTGCAGATGAATCACATGTGCATCTATTTGGTGAATGTAGTTTTGCTAAAACAGTATGGGGGAGGCATTTGCAATGGCTACAAATACATGATGCTTCAATTCAATCTTGTACAAAGATGATGGCATGGGTGATAACACAAGCTAAACGGAAATCGTGTAAAGCCAAAGTAATGAAAATGATAGATGCAGAGTACATCCATGGGATATGGAAAGAGAGGAACAGTAGAATATTTGAAGAGAAAACAAGGACTGCAATATTAGAGCTCAAGGAGTAGTGATGGCAAAAATGCAGCAGCTTATATTTTAAAGACAATGTAGTTTACTTGTATAATGTCTCTTATGTACTGCTCATAGCATAGTCATAGAGTTAGAAATATGTAAGGATTAAGCAAGTCGAGGATGACTCTGCTGTTTTGTAATGATATCTTTGGTGATTAATAAAAATATAATTACCAAAAAAATAAATCTTGTAAATTAGATAATGATGCAAAAATGATGTTTTGAAAGTATATATACTATTTGAGAAAGTATGAGGGCAAAATTGGGTACCAACAACACCAGAAGCTGAAATTTTTAAGAAATTTCATAAGTCTAAAAATTGATCCGATTTCCATCAAAATCACATCCAGGGTCCTCGTAACCCCGTCCGAATATACCAACTAGTTCCAAAACATATAACGGACCTGCTCGAGGCCAAAAATCATATCAAATAAAATCGATTCTACGAACCGCAACCCAAATTCAAGCCTAAGAACTTTTAAACTTCTAACTTTTACATTTGATGCCAAAATATATCAAATCAAGTCCGATTGACCTTAAATTTTGCACACAAGTCATAAATGACATTACGGACCTATTACAACTTTCAGAATCGGATTCCAACCCCGATATCAGTAAAGTCAACTCCCGTTCAAACTTCCAAACCTTCCATTTCCAACTTTCACCAATTTACGCCAAAACAACCTACGGTCCTCCAAATCAACATTCGGTCGCGTTGGTAAATCAAAAATCATCATACTGAGCTATTTAAATTATCAAAACTGAATTTCGGGGTCGTCTACACCAAAGTCAAACTACGATCAACTCTTACAACTTAAACTTTCAACTTAGGGACTATGTGTCCTATTTCACTACGAAACCAAAACCAAACACCCTGGCAAGTTACACAACCACAATGTAGCATAAAGGAAGAAAAATTTAGGGAATCGGGGGTAAAATACTCAAAATGACCAGCTGGGTCGTTATAATTAATCTGATGTATTATTGTGCCAAATGTGTGTATTTTATTTATTGGATTAATGAGTATGACTTGGTTGTAAACCAGTGAGCTTTCATTTTATAATATTTGTTAAAAATATTCATCAAGCATGGTTAAAAACATGGACTTGAGATTTTTTTACTGTAATATTACTGTTAAATTTAATAATGCTACTCATATATCTTTAAGAAAAAAATTAAATCTACGAATATACTATAAAAATAATAAATAAAATAATATCAAGTTATTTTAATTATAAGTAAAATACCTGGGTAAAAGTATATTATATAGCATATAATATAAAAGGTATTACACAAATAGATGATTTATAATGTCAAGGGCATAATAGACTTTTCTGGTGAAAGAATTGTAAAATCTGGTCAAAGTGATTATTGTGATAACTAGAGCACACTAAAATAATTTTGTGTAACAAGAGAAAAAAGTAACTTTTGGGTAATAAACATAAAGTTGAATGACTTTTACGTAACAAAAGAAAGAAAAGTGACTTTTGGGTAATGATCACAAAGTTGAATGACCACCCATGAAATTTACTCCTTCAAAAGGGGTATTAAAAATATTTCGTGGTGAAAACAAATAGGTAGTATTAAAAATGCTTTGAATCAAGATCTCCACCAACCAGCAGGGGCGGATTTAGGGGGCGGAAGGGTGTTCACCCGAACCCCCTTCGCCGAAAAATTATACTATATATGAAAGGCAAAATATATTTTTTACCTCTATATATTATGGTTCTATTTCCGCTAGCTACAACCTTTCTAACTTTTTCCTTTTTTTGAACCTCCTTGGCGGTAATCCTGCCTCTGCCACGGCTAACCAGCATTAAAAAAAAATTGCTAAAACGATATGTTGTTTTTACTTCCATCATGCTGATGTTTTCAAATTGATTTCTCTAATGAAATTTTTTTTTAACAAAAAAAAAAAAGGAAAATGCCACAAAAGACGTAAAAAAGGACAGGATATTTATTTTGGAATTTTTACCTCCTATAGCAAAGGTCGATACCTTATTTATTTTAAATAAATACCCTTTTAAAAAATTATATTCCATAGCTACCTTTTGATTTTTATAGCCAAATATCTATTTATGGTTACCTCCTACCCTTAAGCCATAAAATACTCTTTGTATTATTTTTCTCTCTCATCCTTTCAGATTTTTCTCCATCCTCTCTCTCTCATTAGGGTTCACCAGAGTTTATTATATGAGTGCCCGTATTTTGCAATCTCAATTCACCTACAATTTCATTGTTTCCCTTGGCACTAAATTCCTCCGTCTCTATTTTTATCCGACCGACACTCTGGATTCAACAAATCTGAATCTGTTTTCTCAGTCACTCCTAATCATTATGCCCTCTTGAGTAACTTCAGCGCTTTCCTCACTGTCTCTGCTAGTGATGATGATGAGTCTAGTAAAGCAATTCGAAAAGAATATGTCATCAATGTTGATGAAAGTCAAATACTCAATATAATTTTTTCTCCTTCACCAAACTCTTATGCTTTTGTTAATGGGATTGAGATTGTTTCCATGCAACCTGATCTTTGCGCCAAATTTTGAGAGTTTCGAGTTAGAGTTGCGGCCCTCTTGACGAGACGACATTAGGGTTGTTCTTGAACAAAGACGGCGGAGTTTGGGGCTGAGCAACTTTATTTTCTGTTAATATATTTCAATGTATTTTCATGTATTTCATTGTATTCATTGTCTTTTTTTTCATTGTAATTCAATGTATCTCGTTTCATTCCATGTATTTCATTGTATTCACTGTCTTTTTTTCCATTGTATTTCAATGTATCCCCTTGTATTCTATGTATTTCATTGTATTCACTGTCTCGCTATATGCCATAAATGTATTCATATATTTTTTTTTAATTAATATAATTTATGTATTCAGATGTATTATATAATTTCTCTGAAGATTGCTATGTTTTGGGGTATTTTTCGGTTGAGAATCTTTTTATAACTGAAAATACAAAATTTTTGTATTATAATTGAGTTTGTTGAGTTATATTAGGAGTCTATTATGTTAATTAATTCACTTTCCGTTTTAAAAACAGTGTAATCCCCTATTTCACGCCGTGAATACAGTCGAATACAATAATTTGTCCAGTTGTAATCACATGTTTCATTCCATGAATACAGTCGAATACACTCGAATACAACAACTGATTAGCTAGACTTCCCTGATTCACACTTTTTTTGCTACTGTATTCATGAATACAATAGTTTAAATACATCTTATAACCCCAGAAAAAGTATCTATAATCCGTAATGTAGCAAATGGTATCTATAGATGGCTAATTACTACTAAAAAATAGTGCTTTATTAAAATTTCTCTATTTAGCATCAAATCTGTGTACGCGAGCAGTCTGTCCAGTTTGGATCAGCAACTTTTGTTCTATTGTCACTTCTTCCATCGTTTTGTTTATGATAATTAGTGCTATATTTAATTAATTTTGACATTAAGTTCTACTCTTTTAATTTGTTCAAATAATCCTAAGTATCACATTTGACACGATTATTTAGCAAAAGGTTAAAAATGTGAAATGTTTAATATTTAGAAAATGTTCAATATACCTCTAATATTTGTGATTCGTTTTGCATATGTCCTCCTTTACTTTCGCACCACGAAAACGTATACTATTAAGGGTGGTCAACAAAAGCTGCACTATGTATATAGTTAAAATATTTATAGATAAATAATTTATATTGAACACTTTTTATCGGGATTTTTTTTTACTTCTTTCAAATGTGAGTATCCTTGGAGAAATTCCTAGCTTCGTCACTAATTATTTAATAATTAAGCAGTAAATTTGGATCTTTTGTTTATCTACGTAACTTCGTCGTGACAAATATCAAAGTAAAGCTTGACATAAGTTTTGGAGGGGTTTTTTGGAGGTGCAAAATATGTTACAAAAATTAACAGTAGAGGCATGAAAGATAGATGGAACGCAAATGTATGACAAATCAAATATTTTAGTGAAAAAATTGAATATTTTTCTTTTAATACTTTCTAAAAACATAATTATAGCGAGATATTTTTCAACAGTGCATTTGCACTCTTGTATTATAAAAAATGGAAGCCAGCTATTTTTACCTTGTTAAGATACACATTTGGGTTCTTTCGGTTATGGGAGCCAGCTATTTACTAGCCTATTATTCCTAAAGTGTACTCTCTTGTCTCAAAGGAAAAAAAGAAAGAAAAAGAAAACGAATAACCATCACTTATCCTGAACTTAGCCACTAATACAACTATTTTCGTGTGAACAGGATATTATTATACTCCATCCGTTCACTTTTATTTTTACTTGGCATTTATATTAAAAATAGATTTTCATTTTTACTTGTTACTTTATGTATATTAAGAGAAGGCAAATTTTTTTTTTCTATTATATCCACAGTATTTATTACACATTTCAAATTATTTTCTCAATTCAATATAATATGCATCAATAATATGGATATCATGATAAATTATGTATTTTATTTATTATTTTTTAAGAGGTATAAAAAGTAAAACGTGACAAGTAAAAGTGAACGGAGGGATTACTAATTAATTTGACTGGTCTAGTTCATCTTTAGTGGAGTACTTTACATATTTTTTTAAACGAAACAAACCGACAAAAGAAAAACCAAACTTTTAAAAAGTAGCATCATCACCTCGTTTATGCTATCGTCATCAGTATCACTCTTGCTTACGTGACCAATGCTTAATAATTTATTTAATTGCTTAAAGCACCTTTAAGATTGCATGTACTTCATTTGGAGTCTAAGGATTTTTACACAAGTAAGACTTTGCTCCAAACTTCTAGATTAAAAATGAGAAAAACATAAAGCTTTCATTGAATATCCAAAACCAAGGACTAAAATAGGTAAAACTGAAATCTTATCGTGCCTCCCTCATCTAATACACCATCTGTTTGACAAAAAATGAATTTATTACCATTGGGAATCAACTAAAGTTTTTTAAATCATATTTTTTGATAAACAATTTTTTAAATTATTGTAAC